TTTAGCTCAATTTGTCATAATTTCTACCTAGACCAAAAGAATTTTATCCCTAATTTGATATATTCTTTTGAACGTTTTTGCTCCCCAGACCCTGTATTAGATCACTCCAGCATCTCATTCCTTTAGTGGTGAAGGGACCTACTAATTTCCAGCCTAAATTTACTCATGGCAGTTTATACCCATTTGTTCTTGTGTCAACATTGTCCTTTAGTTTAAATTGCTCCTTTGCCTCCCTAGTGTTTATCCTCCTGATGTATTTATAGACAGCAATCATATTTGCTATCAGCCTTAATTTTGCTAGACTAAACAAGCCAAGCTCTTCTAGGCTCTTCTCCAGTGATGGGCTCTTCACTGCCGGCACCTGGTCGGGTCCGGGTTGCTCAGCAGTGAATACAAGGGACCTGGATTGTGCACAGCATCCCGATGAGCCCTCGGTGCTTGGCACAAGGAATTAATGTTGCCGTATCTGCAATGCTAATACCGCACACGATGCGTTTCCCGATGGCGTTTGTGTCTTGCTTGGCGGCAGGGAGCTGCTGGGACGTGGTGCCGGTCCTCCTTGCTCGTGTCCAATAAACCAGCTTCCAGAAAAGTTTTGTTATTGGTCCCTTGCTGCGTTATCTTGTATTTTGTACTATGAAATCGCATCTCGTTTCTGTTATTTAACTGTCAGGTTACCTTTCTTCCAAGCTGTTATTTCTTCTTGTACAAGGCACTGTACTCTTTTTTTTTTTTTTTTTTTTTTTTTTAAACCGAGACCTTGATCAACTTCCCATTAACCAGCTTAACCGATTTTCTTCAGTTGATTCCCATCTTCTGGAATTTAGGTGATGTATTTCTTTGTGGCACTGTATCAGATGATTGACACGAGCAGACAGATTAGATCTGCCACAGTTCCTTTAATTATTCTTTCCTTCATATTTTTTTCCTTCAAAAGCCCTTCTTAGTTTTTAGGTCAGACTAAAAGCTCTGCACTTATCAAGATGAGGGGGTTTTTTCCTTGGCTTAAATAGAGGAAGCACATTTACTTCCTCTAGCTTGAAGATTTGTTAGATTTATTAAAAATACTGGCCACTGGATCTTCCAGGGTCTTCACTGGGGCTGGCTTTTTAGTCTACACTCCCTCAGGGCAGAGGCTCATTTCTTTAGTTCTGCAGCATCACCATCAGAGCAAACATATAGTAACTGTTTCATTTCTCTGGGTTAGGACCCTCTTGTGTTACCTCTGTGCTGTGGTTTCTGCCCTGTGCTAGTTAAAATGTCATTTTTGTAAAGAAAGAGAATATGAGAATTATTCTGTATGATCAAAATGCCATCAAGAAAATGTCTCTCATGCTTGGGGCTGCCTTTTTTTTTTTAATAGTTGTAACAATAATAATAATATTAGGACAACAAACTAAGATGCCCCTGGAGATGTTGTGACAAATTGGAAGGACATGTTGAAATTGAAATTGATTGAATAGTTCAATAAAATCAGCTTAATGCACAAAAGCAAAAAGGTTAGCTACAGAAAAACAAAAAAAGCAGTAATTTGTTATCTGCTGGGGCCAATCTCACTGAAGATTGAATTAGTTGTAAACTAAAACTAGGTGCTTGAAAGCAGCACCCTTACGTGCCCACACTGGAGCCTTTCGGATGGAACTGGATATGGATGGCAACCAAGTGCCTAAAGGTTTGACAAATGTCAGGCTACTTCCATTTGGTGGACTTGGCAGCGTTAGGTTTATGGTTGGACTCGATGGTCTTAAAGGTCTTTTCCAGCCTAAATATTTCTATCGTTCTATTCTATGTTTTACATGTCTTTGTGTTTTATACAACTTTATGTACAAACCAAGGCCTTTCTCCATATCAGATTGTACTTTTGCTCTAAAAGCAATACTTATGTCTTAAGCTGACAGAAATCAGTGCAACTTTGGTGATGTCTCTAAGTTTCCACCAGCAGCTCACCTCTCACATGTCCCTGATTGCTGCAGCTCTCTCCAATATCCTGAGATATACTGCCCATCTTAAACATGTGCATGGCCACAACGATCCTACCCGATTGCTCCATCCATTTGAGTTCTGGTATAATTCCTAACACTTTCTCACTAGGCTTGGACTCCCTGCGCTTGCTTGCACATGTGCAGCGCTCCTTTGCCATCCTTCCCCTCTTCCCATCCCTAGGCACCAGCTCTTTGTGGCTGGTACATTTGTACGTTACTAAATTCTGGGCATTTTCATTTTTGGCATTGTATTATCTGATTGATGTAATCTTTCTTTTAAATTTCTTTAATTTAGTTTTCTGAATTTGTGTGGGGTTTTTTATTAACACAGTGCTGTGATGCTCAGTGAAAGGTGCTTTGTTAAATAAAAAACACTTTATTGTAAACCTGAGATTAATAAGACAGGGTCCGTGAGCATGCACACACACGTATGTGTGTCATCAGAGTATGTGTAATTTACGAAGCAGTAAAATCGTGAAGTTAAAACTTTTAAATGAGGCTTTCTAGTCCCTTACCCCATCTTGTACAAGAGGATTCATTTTTCCAGGGAAGTTTTGGTTAAGAAGTGAATAAAGCAAGCTAGAAAGGAGCTGAAAGCAGCGGGAGGTTTGCAGACTGGGTCCCGGTATGAATAAGTGCTGTGCAGACAGAGTGTGACCTTACCCAAGGTCTGCAGTTTGTTCTCGGAGTTCAGATTAAAGTTTGCATAACAGTGTCACGAGTTTCAGAATTGCTTTTGACACAGAACCGGAGCTGCCTTTGCCGTGCCCTAGCTGGAGGCACGCTGCCGCGACAGCCCCGGCTTGCTCCGCTGGGCACACCTGGGAGCGTGACCTGGGAGCCCAGCAGCTGTAAAGAGGTCGGTCAGTCTGCAAACACGGTAAAATAGAAAAATGCCAAGTTAAGAAAGAAGCACCCCCGCCAATGGAGGCTGTTTCATCGCCCTCTCGGCTGACGGAAAGGAAGGAACATTTTTTTTCCTGCAGTCGCTGCCGAAGCACTGAAGCTTTTACAATAATGTGCGACAGCTACACCATCAAATCGGAAATAATGCTGTGAATTACGTGTCTCTGTCTCACTGCAGTGAGGAACGTTAGAGGTGGCTTTGCCATTGAAGTGCGCTATTGAAATGGAGTCTCTCGTGCGGGCCTCTGACCTGTTTTTCTAATTTATGTGGAATCTGATTGCCACTATTTTCTTAAATATCTTCCCCCCCTTCTATGATTTAAACCTAATGTGGCTCACTAGTATTTGGCCTGTTTGGGAATACTTCTGTCAGCCTCCCAAGTTGTCTGTAGGAGAGAATAAGGAAGGAAAAACTAAATACGAAATAGAAATACATTCATCAATAAGGACGTTTCAGCCTTACAGTTACCTGGTGTTTTACAAATGGAGTAATGAATGGCAACTTTTTGTGTGAGGAAAAACAAGGGCTAACAATAGTTTCTCCCTCATGTTTTATTATACAAGGTAGCAAGAGCTAATGAAAGTGCATTTCCATAATATATTCCAGTTGCAAGGTGCTGATGGATCCCTGTGTGTGATGTCTTGTCAGTTTAGCAGGTTAATATCTATCAATTTGAAGTCCTGGAATCAAGATAAAGCTAAAAGTCAGATCTCTGTTATTCTAGCAACTCAGAAGAATTAAAGAGTTAAGCCCATTACAGCACTTCAAGAATGTTTATATAGGAGTAGAGAGACCTAATTGACCTAATTCTTGCCCTTTGAAATGTCAAAGGACATTTGACATTTTACACACGCTTGTAACATCGGCGCACAAAGGGAGCAGCCCTCGACTACCTAAGCTGTGTTCCAAGAGCGGGAGCGATCCAGCACGAGGCAGGTCTCTCCTCCCGGTGAAGTCCCTCAACTTGGCTTTGGAAAAAGCTTTTCCTGCATGACATTGTGCCTCCCTTTGGTTTTCACACCCTTCGGGCTCTCCGATGTGCCGTCAGAGCCGTTTAGTCCTTGTGTCCCGGCTCGCAACTGTAATTGCACCTTAGACCTTAAGAAATAGGGTGTAATGTTTAGCTTTGCCCTGAGTCACACCAGTTTTCGGTGGATCCTTCCCTGGTTCTCGGCGCATCCCTTTGCCTGTGTTTCAGGAAAGGAGCTTTGCTTTCCTATCTGCCTGTAAAGTGCCCTGTGCACCCTGAGCACAACAAGTGTAGACATCAATAGTAAATTCTGCAGACCCAAATGAAAGTTTATCGTTGAGGCCAGTTTTAAAGATTAGGAGGCTTTTCTCAATGCAGGCAAATACTCCAAAGTAAAGGGACATCCCAGGGAGGTGTACACACATTCAAGATCAGACGCCCTCTCCTGTTTTATTCAAGTTTATTTTCCAGTTGCATTGACATACGGCATCTTTTAGAAGAACTTTAATGAGTGATTTTTATGGCTGGCTCTGAGGCTTTTTCTTTGAGAGCCGCGTTGTTTGGGGTGCTCAGGAATTTAAATCAGATCTGCTGAACTTCTGTTTATTGCATTGAATATTTTTTTTTCATACTGGACTTAAATTCTCCTTATTTACCAAGATTGTGTAAAAGATTGAAACATGGAGAGTATTTTAAGTACATTTGTGGGCATCAAACTGTGTGAGCAGAACGAGCTGGAGGGCCGCCAGGCATTGTTGCTGTCAATTTTGCGGGTATAATGTTCTTAGTGATGTTTTCAGTGAAAACACATTAGCAAAATTTTTAGTGGTTTTCAGAAGACAGAAACTAATGTTGCTGAAAATGCTTAAAAATTAACAAAAATGTCTGTTTCAACCAAGGAACTTTGCCCATGAGATTTTTATTTTCCCATAAAACGGGTGATGTCCACCAATCTATGCAAAAATCCCTTCAAAAACATGATAGAAAATTTTATCTGTCTTTTTTACTAATGTTTTGAATCAGATTAACTTCTTAGTCTGCTTAAAGATTGCACTTGTATACAGAAGACAAACCAAGGCGTTTCATCGGATGCATTTTTGTTTCTCATCTTTTCTTCTTCTTTTTTTTTTTTTTTTTCCAGAAAGTTCAGCAGTATATAGTCATTGTTCAAGCCACAGATATGGAAGGAAATCTTAACTATGGTCTCTCAAACACAGCAACAGCGATCATTACGGTGACAGATGTGAATGACAACCCACCCGAATTCACTACCAGCACTGTAAGTATCAATACATCAGCACAGTGATGCATGGACACACAACGTGTTTGTAATTCATGGATGTTTATATCGGTCGTCTCTCTTAGCTGGTTTGGCAGATAGGAGGAACTTGATAGATAACTGTGGAACAAAGACTTTCGCGGGGGGGGGGGGGGGGGGGAAAAAAGGGAAAAGGAAAAGCAGAATGATTCATGAACTAGCAAAACTATTTGGCGACCAATTTTGCTGAGGTACTAAAGGAGCTGAAATAATGTGGCAAACAGACTATGTCTGATTGCACCAAAGAGGATACAGTTGTTTCACAGCAATTGGCTGTAGACATATCAGAGTTGTTATTACTTATGAGTGAAACCCTGAACAGTAAGAGATATTTTGGGTTTAGTAGCTTGGATACGATTTCAAGGAAGCAGTAAATACTCAGAATGGTAACAGGCATCCGGTAAAATTTGTATTTCACCGATAGCTCTAACAGATGTATTTGTGTGTGCTGGCAGTAAATGTGTAGACATTCTTCAGTGCATCTGGTTTTAATCAGTTAAAGATCTTTCTTATATTAGTACAGTAATTCTCTATTCTGTTCTCCTGTGCTCCAAGTTGCTATTACTAGGGGACAAGGGGAAAAAATAAGAGATTGCAAATGACAAATTTTTGGAGCTGGCTAAGGTAAAAATGAAGAGTTAGAAGGTGAAATGACGTAGTCTGGCTCTTTCCAGCCTTCATAATACTTAGATGTAGAACATCTGAAATGTGCATAGTAATTTTAGAAACCGCAGAGCAGTACAGAGGTCTGCATGCTAATAAATGAGAAATCATTGTGTATCCACAATCTATATTCATATGAGGGTCAATAAGGAGCAGTAAATGATGTATCTTAAACTGACACCAAATCTTTAAAAATACAGCAAGTCTAACTGCATTGTGCCCAAGTCACTGAACATCGTTTGAGGAATGTTTTTGTTTACGTTATTCTGAATTTTCATTCCATCTTAAAGGTTCTGCAGGTATTTATTAGTGTAGTACCCAAGTTTTTACTTACACCCTTACAAACTACAGATACGTAGCAGAACTCAAGGAAGTCGTGCAGAGCCCAATTTCTGCCACCATGGACCCAAATGGGCTCCACGCCAGCTGGGGAGCCTGGGTCCTTCCCTCCCATGGCCATCAGGACCCGGGCTCATGGATGTGATGTGCTCAGCTCCCGAGCAGTGCCAGCATTTTCCGACGAAGTGACTTGGACCTAGATTCTCAGAAAAAGGAAGTCACTAAATTCCTCCTGAATGAAGAGAAAAATGGGCACACAGTGCATTTTCAGATCTGGGCCTCAGTCTGCAGCCTGCATTGCTGCACCAGTGAGTGTAGGGTGGGTTTAACAGCAGCACATGTGCTTCATATCTGCCATAGCGAATACGCCGAGCTTTGTATTGTAAAGTTGTCATTAAACATCTCTTTAAGTATGATACATATGGTTGTGAAGAGCCATAAAAATCTGATACAAGTCTTGGGCCATGTGGTCCTTTCTCCTGCCAGCATGGGATCGTTCTCTCTTGAAAATTTTATAGCAGCCAGTTTTAAAGTTTTGTGTCTCTCAGGCCATGGGACTTTTCACCACAGCAGCACGTGTCCCCCAGCTTGCTAGTGTTTGCAGGGGGGACCTTATTCTGCCAGGGAAATATTACTTTAACCTATAGTTGAGTGAAAAAGGAGTGACATCAAGTGGCCACATCATTTAAGCACAGGTTGTTCCAGATGACCCAGCTTGCCTGGGTCCTTGTGTCCAAATGCATTTTAGGAGGTGAGGTTTCGGGTAGCAGGGTGAGCTGTGTCAGGATTAGTCACACATGCACATCAGTGCCTTCTGGAGGGCAGCATCTCTCCAGATGTGGTATATTTTAATGTCTTTCCGAAACACTTTCCAAAGCTGAATCTGATGGAAGGTAAGATAATGGAAATTTGCTTTCAGGTGAATTCTGAGTATTTAATGTCTTGGTGTGTGTTAGACCTAGAAGGAATAAAAGCCATCAAGAGAATTACCCATAGGATTGTCTTAAATGGATTAGAAAATGCTACTCTTCCTCTAAGCAGGGTTGATGTGTACCATTATTTCTCTAATTTCAATCACTGAAGAAAGAGTTTTGCAAGGGCCAAAGGGCTTTACACAGTAGCACATGGGACTTAATAAAGATCTGAAAACCAAGGGTGTTTTACAACAATATTTTCTTATTCTGTGGAAACAAATATCTTTTATATACTCCCACATATAGCCAGGATGAATTTCACGTGAGTATGAAAGTATAATACAGTTTTTCCCTGACTGACAGGGAGAACAGCATCAGGCTGATCAGCCTCTTTAAACCTGAGCTGAATCTCCTTGCTGTCGTCAGATAGTCTGATCTGCATTTTAACACCTCTAAAAAATAGCAAAAATCTCTTTCCAGGAAATCTATAGCTCCTCAGAGGCTAAGAAAGCCCATGGTCTCTTTTAAGAGTGGGCACTGTTTGGAGAGATACAGTATATTTTTATTTTAAATACTTTTGCATTGAGATGCTGTTGTAAAAACAAAATAGGCTGAATAACTGAAATTGTGGTTTGCTCTTGGCAAGCTGCCAGATGAAAGGAACTCAAGCAACTATATTCAGCATAGACACATACAAAGGCCCACCCTATAGTGCTCCTAAATTACCTGTCATTCAGCCAGGGTGGTTTTAGACTTAATCGTTTCTGGATAAGAATGTAGCTCAGGAGGACACTGCACCATGCTGGTGTCACAGCTCATGTATTCAGCAGCAGGAATTAATGTTACTGTGTAAAATTTAACAACGGGACAGGAGAGAAGAAAACAGCCACTGCAATGGTCAAAGTCAGGTCACGTCCATAGCTGAGCACGCCGTGCAGGGGGGTGAAGAGGCTGCATGCACAGAACGTGTGAAAGTTCAGATAGAGGTGTACAAGAACCAAAATCACTTGTCTACAGGAGTGGATGACCTGCAGAGGCATGTTGGTTAACGGACATCCAAAATACCGGATGAGCTGTGATCAAAATGGGGTGCTAGATGAGAAGTGGAAAAAGAGTAGCAAAATCACACAGAAGATCCTTAAATGTACAAATTGAAGATACTCCAGTGAAACTCCAGAATGATTGCTTGCTTATGTGAAAATGGATTGATGTGGTTTTCATATCTTCTAGTAGATCACCTGAAAGGCAGGGGGAAGGTCCTGCACAAGGGCAGGGGAAGAAGCAGCCCCACCTTCTCACACAAAGGATTCTGAAATTATATGGGGCGGGGGGGAAATCACAGTCTCTAGATAAAACAGTTTTGAACTAAAGTCTGCTGTTAACTGTAAGTCCAGTCTCCATCAGCAAGAGTCGTGACCAGTCCTGGTAGTCACAACCAGGACTATCCGCATCAAACTGCGAGGCACTGGGGCATAGCGAGGACGAGTTGACCTCCTCTAGTCCTTTCCAGCTCTCTTTTTTTGTGATGGTGAATGTTTTCTTGATCTGCAAATGCTATCTGGCCATGCCGAGAAGCATCAGAGAGCAGCTAACAGTGAGAAAACGTCTCATGAGAGACTGCCCCAGAGTGGGAAGCAATCAGATCTGCGCCAGAAGAGTGGAGCATCCTGCGAAACGCCATAAACATCATAGGCAGCTATTTTGGGCAATGTTAATGATTTAGTGCAGGACCGTGACCCAGGGAACGCTCCTCTGGCTAGCTAAGGGACTTCAGCCTGCTCTTTGTGTTGTGTTCTTCATGTGACATTGTTGCTTGCAAAAATAAATGTAGAGAGGCAATTCTTCCCTCTGCCGAAGAGCAGAGGTACTCATTCTGGGTGAGCGGAGGTAACGCCGTCTCCACGGCATAGCCAACCAGCCCGTGCCCACAGGCTCTGGCTCAGATGCCTTAGAAAAAGGTATTTTAATCCCCCATGCCCAAGTTTCCCACAGTCCTTAGATCCCTAAGGATCTTAGCTATTCTAGTTCATTTTCATGGCATTTTTGGTGGGTTGTGCATCTGCCAAATCATGAGCTGGTGTAAAATAGTGACATTTGAACTGGACTGTGTTGCAAAGGTTTGTAGGATGTTCTACTGGGAAACTGGCTCCATTACTGTTACAAGATAAGGGTACTGGTATCACTGTGCCCTCTGTTATCCAGTCGCTGTTACTCACAACAGGGTCATGTCCTCTGACATGTCTTAATTATGTGGAAATTCCTCAGCCTCCCTTCAAATATTTATCTCTTGTGTGCAGGCGGGTTGCGGTTTTTTTCCGTATGAATATAGATCTGTAGCTGAGCCTCTGGCCAGATGCTCACCTCAGATACAGGGGAGGTGCTCTGAAATTAGTGTCGGTGTTTCAGAGATTAAAAGTCAGCCAAGACAGAACAGTGCTGGATAGTCTCAGGTGAGATTTTATGCAAGGTGGAGACATCTTTTTTCTTCACAGAAGGAATGCCTTTAATTCCAGTGAAATCTTTTAACTCCTATCAGGCAGGATGCCCTTTCCAGTCTGACCCATGATACCGTTAATAGCCATCCAAGGGTTTCCACTTTATCTAAGGAAATGCATAATCAGAGGGGAGGAGAAGTTAAAGAAATCCATGCCTACACTTGATTCATACAAAGTCTATTTTTATCGTATTCAATCAGGAACAATCAGGCACAGAGAGGAGACGCAGATGAATTTGCATGATCAGACTTCTGTGTCTTAAATGTTAATTAAAAGTTATTTTAAATTTGCCTACTGTGCAGAACTTGTTTTTATAGTAGCCCGTTTAAGGGAAATATTATTTCACAGGGCTGAAGTGCTCATGATTAGTTGAGCTCGTGGATTCTTGGGAAGACCTGCCTGGCAATCAACCTCTCCTTAAAAAAAGAAAAAATAAGAAGGAAAAAAAAAAGAAAGGAAAAAAAGAAACTGGGCTATTCAAGTTCTTTAAGCTCCTGAGCCTTAGGAGGTCTTATTCAAAGCTACTTTAAAATTTGCCCTTTGGCACTGC